AGTTGATCAGATGCATGTGAAAAGCTGTTTTAGCAGGCCATTGATCAAGCTGAGTGAATATAATGTTGCAAGGGAAGAACTGGTCATCTTTGATTGCTGCCAACAAAACTGACGCAATGTCTTCTGAATATAACCAGAAAGCCTCCAAGTTAAGAAAACAGATATGCAATCAAATAGGAAGCACATAGTTCACCACTCAGTGTACAAGTAACTAACCTTTTCCACTGTTATGTAACGGCCTTCAAGAACTGACTGATTCAGGTGTTTAATGCAGCGATTAGCATCTTCAAGAGAATCCATCGTTATAAAAGCAAAACCACGAGAAATCCGAGAACGTGGTTCCACGACAAGAAAAACTGATTTCACCTAGAAAAAAAATTGTAAAAGCAATTGAAGAAATTGATAACGGTACAATGGTAAGCTATTCTGATCAAAATGCCACCGAAGATCAATCTGTTGGTGTACATATTGACGAGACCCTACTCACGGATAACACAATACTCCTGGTTTTGGAGGGAAAAAATCTTTCCGTGTGCCAGGAAGCGCTGGAGGAGAGGGAACTGGATAAGGAATAAGAAAATAATTGGCGATACACATACTAATAATAACCAACCTTTCCCTCCTTTGAGAAATGTTCCTCCAGGTCCCTTTCCGTCACCCTTGTAGATAAACCAGTCACATAAAGTGTGTTTCCAGGATTAGAAACTTCTCCCCTGAATAAGTCATACAGGATAACATAAGTAGCTTCAAAACAAGCCATCAACACACACTAAGTTCCAGGTAATATGCACGTATCTCTACAATAAGAAATACTAAGTCAGAGTAGAGCTAAAGTTCCAACAGACCTTCCACGACTTCTTGACCTTGATCTGGACCTGGATCTTCCCCTTGGCCTCGAATATGATCCAGGTGGGGATCTAGACCTTGACTTTTCTTCCCAAGGAGAAGGAGAGCGCGAATACCTATTCCATAAACAGATAAATGGAAAAAAAGTTTAAACAACATATTAAAAGGATACTTCAAATAATGGAGTGTCTTTTTTTGCATGTAAGACTTTCATACAAATCATAAAGGAATCTTCAATGGAGCCATCTTTTGCATTAAAACATTAATGTTGCTTGCTTTATACTCCAAGAAATTGCAGGTCTTCCGACACAGTTCCTTTGTGTGATTTTAGGCTATCTTGTCCCCTTTTAAAACCTTCACTCATATGCTTTCGCACCTACAAACCGGTGCAACTTTAGGTCAACCATTCTCACAGTTTAAACTCTATGTGTCCTACTTGCACCTTCTGCTATACGTGATTATGTTTAATCTTGTATTACTGCACATTCATCTTAACATTCACATTTCTACGATATTCTATAATGTCAATTGGCACTAATCTGAATGTCTATTTTCTTAGTCAAAATTGAAACCATAATCATCCAAAAGCTTATTCAAATGGTCTCAACTACATATATTCCTCCTATATATCACATAACCAAATAGATCTACCTCTCACTAGAGTCATAGACAAGTAAACATCAAACATCATATCAAAAACCCTAGCGTACAACAAATAAATGCAAGTACCAATTTGTAAGAGCAAGATGCTTCAACATAAAAATCAAAAGACATATGGGGAATTGGTAACAGAAACAAAGCCTAACCTTTTGCGAGGAGAATCAGCCTGCAAAGAATCAAACATATGTTCAATTAGTTGAATTGGCAACAATAATCAGAGAAAAATGGATTATTGCAATCTCTGTCTAAAACACACAAAAACACATGCTGATACATGCAGGAAGACGAATCGCAGGTAGGACGAGAGAGATCTCTTACCATTTCCCAGGAGACGAGAAAACCCTAAATCGCCAAAAGGGGGAGAAAGGGAAAGCGATGTAATGTGGCAATTATACTTCAGACTCGTGCCATATAAGTACAAGAAAATTAGGTGAACACCTTAAATTACATTTATACCCCAAGGCTTTTGCAAAAATTACATTTATCGGGTAAGCCTTTGCCTACCCCTTTTATGTTTTGAGAGGAGCACAAGTAAAAACTTCGTCCACAAATTGCCATAGTTTTTTCCTAAGGGAATCTCACGAAAATGTCCCAATAAGTCAAGTTTATCAACCTTTAACTATTAATTATAAATTTATCAAAACTAGTTAAATATATATAAAAATTAAAAACCTACAAAAATAAGGTTTTTTCTCTCCAAGAATCACACACAAAAATCTCCTTTCATATTTTCAAATGTGATTAGCAACATTAGATACAAGACGAAAAGGAAATTTCATGAATGAGGTAGCAAATAAAGTGATAAAATACAAAGAAATATATATACAAGATCTCAAAAATCTAAGCAAAAAGAGATTTTTTTTTCAATGGGTATGGTTGAGATTCATTGAAAATATATAGATGAGTCAATATACAAAATTTGAGGATGATTGGAAGTATTTTGGACTGATTTGATATCAAAATTCGTAGTTAAAATCGAGTTCAAAAAAGTTCTGCGACACATGTATCACGCATATACGTCACACCCTGGTGTATACATGGATATACATGAGATACACATTTGATACAAATATCGATACATATGTGATACACCTATCATTTTTTTCATGTTAATCTTTTACTACGAATTTTCATTGAGATTCATACTCCTTAAGATATATCTAATCTATTCTAATAACACCCACTCAAAAGAAAGCAAAATTTCCGCTACAAATAATTAATTAGCTAATATTATTAATATTTTATGAATTTGTCAATTTTTGTAAAAAAACTACTTATAAATGGAGATAACTGGTATTTTTGCTTTTTCTAATCGGCAAGATTTGAAGTATAATTCGCTAAGTCATTCAAACCACAACTATATATCTATAGTCTAAAATTTTCTTCTTGGAAGTTTCTTTCTTTTTTTTTTTTTTTTTTTTTTTTTTTTTTTTTTTTTTTTTTTTTTTTTTGTTATTTATTTCAGGACGTGATACTTTTTTTTGTAAATAATATTCTTCCAGCTCATTTTTCGTGATTATTCTCAATATTGAAGTTGATACAGAAATCCAAATTTCTATGCATTATTTTCACAATCTTAGAAATCCTAATTGTCAAACTTATTTGAATCTAATCGTTCAATTAGAGAAGCTCTATCTATATTTTTTTTTAAAAGAGAGTTCTGGATTGAATAGCCTTTAATAAAGTTGAAACTAATAATTATAAAACCCCTATCAAACTCCGACTAGAATAAGAAAATCAGAATCACAACTCTCACTTTTTTTGCTTGCATCACTTGTAACTCACTTGATGATTCGTCCATGCTCAATTTTCTTAAACCAAATAATATATGATTTCATGTATCGAGAAAATTAAATAAACAATTAAAATAGTGCTATCTAACTTCTCTAAAAAAATGTTTCATTTGATCTTTTGTTGCCCTCTGACATGTAGCGGGAGTTCCATCCAAGTGTAATAAACAATTAAAGAAATGCAGTATGCTTGCTCGAGGCCTGCAATTATTAATCCGCCATTCAACTTCATCTCCAATTTGGTGCCTCTCTCCCATCCTATATAACAGTGTAACCCAACCCAGATAGTTCTGGACTACTTACAGTCAAAGAAGAGATAAGACATTGTTCCTTTGTATTCATTCGACATAGTACATATTCATTTGGTACATATATATATATATNAGCCCAGTACTAACATCTTTTTTTTTTTTTGTTAATTAGAATATTTCATTAATCACCAAGAGCAATCCTTACGAATCAGCATAGTCATCCTCGACTTGCTACAATCCATACATAGTCATATCTCTATAACTATACTATAAGCAGTACATAAATCCACAAAGTACTATCTTTCCCGCTAGTCTTTGAGTTGTTGTTTTCCCTTAGAAATGACGTTGTTGCATCTTTGTCCTCACTCCCCCTTGTGCTCTAATGTTGCATATGCATGCCACTTCCCTAGCTAGCTGTTCTACATTCCTTGCTTGATCTTCAAACACTCTACTGTTCCTCTCTTTCCAAATCACATAAATGTATTCTGCATACATCATCTTGAGTATCTTTGACTTCAGTGACTTACCTTTGGATTGGAAATGCAGCCATGTAAACACTTGTTGGCAAGAATTAGTTGGAGCATTCAATAGTTGCAACCATCTCAGTAATCTCATCCATACTACTTTGGAGAAGTTACACTCACCAAAGAGATGGAGATGAGATTCTTCTGCAGCCATACACAGAATGCACCTTGAGTTCACTAGGATTCCCTATTTGGCTAATCGATCCACAGTTAACAACTTTTCCTGACACTGGAGCCACATTGTAAACATTGCTTTAGGTCTAGTCTCATTATGGAATATCAAGGTTCTCCATTCTACTTTGTTATAATTTTCAAAAGACCTAAGTATATCTGCTTAATGAAGCTCTTTTGCTTGTTTAGGGCTGGTATTTGTTGTGCATTTTTCATAGCATCCAAAATCTTCCTCACCATCCAACTTGCCTGTTATGGAATAGCCATGTCAAATATGTTTTGACTTTTGATGTAGTATGCATGAATCAATCTTATCCAAGCTTTATCCTCCTTATGAGCTAGGTCCCAGTATGTTTTAGTGATTGCTGGCTTGTTCCACACTTGGAGATTTGTCAGGCTACATCCCCCTACTGATTTAGGTAGGCACGTCTTGTCCCAAGCTATCAATGCTCTTTTTGTGATTGTATTGGTTCCAGACCATATGTAACTTCTACAATAGGCCTCTATCAGCTTCATAAACTTTGTTGGTACAAAGAACAATTGAGCCCAATAAGATTGGATGCCAAATAGTACAGTCTGCACAAGCTGCAGTCTACCAGCATAAGATATTTTCCGAGCAGTCTATAAAGATACTCTTGCTACAATTCTCTCTACCAACGGTTGCCTTTGAAGTATAGTTAACTTTTTTGTATCTAATAGAATCCCCAAGTATTTGAAAGGCAGGTCCCCTAGTGAATAACCTGTACTATATAGTATTCTCATTTGTTCTGACTTTGCCACTCCTCCAAAGTAGAGAGCACTCTTTGTAAGATTAGCTTGTAAATCAGAAGCAGCAAAGAATTGCCTAAACAGTGGTGCAGAGCTTGCACAGAACCAGTGTCACCCCTGGTAAACATGAGTAGATCATCTGTAAAATTGAGATGAGTTATGTACAACTTGCTACATCTTGGATGGTATTTGTACTCCTTTATTTGCTTAATCATCATGCTCAGATACTCCATGGTAATTGCAAACAAGAATGGTGACATGGGATCACTTTGTCGAAGCCATTTAGTTGCATTAAAAGGCTTTGTCAATTCTTCATTGATCATGATAGAGTAGCTCACTGTTGACATACATGTTTTCACCCATTGGAGGAATTTTGTAGGAAAGCCTAAGTATTCCATAAGCTTTTCCAAGTACACACATTCCACTGAGTCATAAGCTTTCATCATGTCCACCTTTAACATGCATTTAGGAGATATATATTTCCTGTTGTATGCTTTGACAAGTTCATGGGCTAGTATGATGTTATCTGCTATTTTCCTCCCTAGGATTAATCCTGCTTGAGCTTCAGAGATGATGTGTGGCATTATCTTTTTGCAATCTTCCAGCAATGACCTTAGATATCAGCTTGTATAACACAGTGCAACAAGCAATGGGCCTGAAATCCTTGATTGTCACAGGATTGGGGATCTTAGGCAGCAAGGTTATAGTGGTGCAGTTGATGACCAGATACATTACACCTGTGTGAAAGAAGTCTTTCACTGCTACATACAATTCCTCTTTGATCACAAGTTAAGCTCTCTTGAAAAATTCTGCATTATAGCCATCTATTCCAGGTGCTTTGTCACTTCCAATATCTTTTAGCCCATCATATATCTCCCGATCAGTCACTTCTATACTTAACTCTATTTGTTGTTGATGTATTAGAATTGGCCCGTTCTTCATAACCATAATATTGACGGCCGGTAGCTTATTGGCCCTAGACCCCATCAGACTTTTATATAATTGTAATATCTCCTCCCTAATAGCTGTTGGTTCTGTAATAGTAAAATCTGATAGAGCTTGTATTTCAGCGATATGTTTTTGTTGCCTCTCTTTTATGATAGTTGAAAAGAATTTACTATTGAAATCTCTCAATTAGATCCAAGTTGCTCGAGTCTTCTATTGTAGAATCCCTTCTTCTACAAATGACCATGTCTCCAGTTTGTGTATGCATTCCCTTTCCAGGTCTAATAATGTATCAGAGTAGTATGTTTCCATTTGACTTTGGACTTGAGAGAGTGCTATCCGAGCTTGTTCTATCTTTTCTGTTACTCCTTTAAATTCTGTTGCATTTATGTGCCTAAATTGACTTTTCAGCTCTTTAAGTTTGAAGCAGATGTTCTTCATTTTCCCTGATGCTTTGTTCTTTCTCCACCCTTCAGCTACCATCGACTGAAAAGATGCATGATTTGCCCATACAATGAAGAAGCCGAATTGACATTTGGTTTGAGTCTTAGGCTTCCTTATAGTAATAATCATATGGTTATAGTCTGAAATATAGGGCTCTCCATACTCTGGCGATATGGCCATAATTCATCATCCAGACATTATTTCCCAATAATCTATATAGCGACTCCACACTCTGACATCTCCTTGTTGTTTATTAGTCCATGTGAAATAGTCCCCTCTCCAAGGAAGCTCTGTAAGACAGATGTTGTGGCATAGTTCTGAGAAATCTGTAATGTCAGCATTGGTCACAAGCACCTTAGACAATCTGTCTTGAGGAGTAAGTAGTGCATTGAAATCTTCCCCAATTATCCATGGTCATGTAGTTGTTTGTGCTATCCTTTGAAAATGTTGCCATAGATTCTTCCTTTTTTCAACTACATTTTGCCCATACACCACTGTGAGATAGAATTGCATTCCATTATATTTCCCTGTAACTTGGCAATGGATAAATTGATCCTGTTTATCAATTGCCAACACTTCATACATTTGGTCATCCCATATAATCCACACCCTACCATTCATTGCATGCTCATAATTAGTAATTATGTTTCATCCAGGGGTAATTCTAATCATCACTCTTTCTGTTTTAGCTTCTTTCACCTTTGTTTCTACTAGACCAGCTAGCTTTATATGTTTTTAGTGACATTTGCCTCCAGCAGAATTCTTGCATAGGATATGCGCATATGCTTTGTTGTGCATTCATCCGCAAAGAGTGGCTTTTCTATGGCACATGCCATTTTACTTAGAGCCTTATTTCCTCAGCAACTCATTGGCAACTTTGGTAGTGTGATCCACGATGGAATTTCAGTCAAGAATTCAGCCGTAAGGTCAAATTCAGGGGACCATTGTTTTAAGATCATTGGTCTACCATTAATCATGTATGGACCTCCATATAGAATATCCTTCAAATCATCAAGTGTATAAAATCTAGCAATGTAATACCCTTCCTCATGAAGAACAGATCTGGAGCAGTCACTCAACTCTAATTTTGAGCTATGTATCTTTGCATGAATTTATGACCAGGTGCATCCCCAATTACATAGACAGTTAGGGCACACTGCCACTTCTTAGTTTGATTGTCAATTTCATCCTTATCCAGTTTCACCACAATATTACCATCAATAATCTCTGGGGGGATATAAGAGAGTGCTATACTATTTTTTGAAGATCTATTACCTGCAAACAGATTGACCGACGGTTTTTCCGGTGGTGGTGGCTCTGCATGCACCGGTTGTGTTCTGGTAGCTTCATCCGCTTGTATTGTTCCATTAGTTTTTGGTTCTATCTCTGTAATTTTCCCATTGGCCTCTGTATTTTCCACTACGTTGTTCACTGGCGTGCCGTCACAGGATGACGATGCCACATTCATCTGGATTGCACTTAGGTTTAGCCATTTCGCCGGTCCTATTGGTGTGCTTGAAGACCCCAATTTCTGCAAGTTAGGTTGAAATTGACTGCCAATCGGAGTAGTTATTTGTTGTGTATTACCTTTAGCTGGTGTATCTATTATTACTGTTGCGCTTACTGCTTCTCCGACCATCACGAGTCTCGTTTTGGCCGGACTCGCTTTCTATCCATGGCTAATTCTCAGACGGCGTACGTTAGCATAACATGCGCCGAGAGCCTAGAGAGAGAAAGTTAAAAGTCGGTAATTTTGCTTCCAGTACTAACATCTTCCATGGCATCTTTTGATATTATGGAAGTGCTGAGATGTATGTTTTCTTGATATCAAACTTTCTCCTCGTATAATATTTTTTTAATATTTGCAAAATAATTTATGTGTAGAAATCATTTTCTAGTGTCAAAAACCTTCCTTATAAGCCAACATGCTTGCCTCGGTGTGTGCATTGTAGTAAATTCTTTCCCCTTTTATGTAGAAGCTATATATCCATTGTATCTATAAAGTATCTTTCTTTGTGTGTATTGCACATAGTAGTTTACATAGTGCTGCTTTATCCCAATAGTGAAAGTCAATCATATTCAGGCTTCTAGCTGATCTTGGCATGCATGGCTTAAATCATCTATGCAAGCAATATCCACAAAAAGGTTCTGCAAGCATGCAGTGATAAACTTATGATCTTTTTTGGCAGCAATAACACTTGTCCCCAATAGGTCTGTATTTCAAAGATTTTAACACTTTCTATCAACTGTAGCCTACCACTATATCAGACCAATATCTGATCCTTGCAATCATTCTCTATCTCTGGCATATGTTGCTGTATTGTCAGCTTCTTAGATGATAATGTTGAAATGCATCTCAGAAAGAATCAAATCGCGGAATTCATGTAACCCCTAAAATTTCTTGAGAAATATGTTGTTGCATTTAGATAGTAAAAGCGTGTGAGCATCATTTGAAAAAGTTGCTTTTGCATATAGTGTGGACAATGTATGTGAACACAAGAAGAGAAAGCAGGAGGACGGACATATAACTTCCTGACTACTATTAGATATGGATCACATGGTTATTATACATAAGACCATAGGAATACTCTTTTATTCAAAACAATACCCTCTTGTAAGTTAAAAAACCAGTACCAATCAGATATCCATTCTTTTTAATAAGTAATAATCCCGGAACGGTTTACATGCATCAAATACTCCTAAATCTACATGTTGATGTACAACATAAAAGATATGAATGAGAATACAATATACCACAGCTATACATGCACCATCTTTACGTTGCCAGAGACTCGAAGCATGACAATTCTTGAATTAATGCTCGTTATCCTTGCATTGGGGGCGTATGCTAATCTTCTTTATATCATTCCAATTTAATCGTACTTTCTCAAAGAGACTATGAACTTACCTAAAGAATCAGGTGGTCAACACATCTGGGATAGTAGGGGAAGGATTTCCTAATATTTTACCACCAACATCTGGGAAACATTCATAATCAGGTAATGGACAAACTTTGCCATCAGCATCCACTTGTATGGGATACTTCAGAAGATGTCCTTGCAATTCAGTAAAAATTTCAGCTGTATATCTCTTCCAGTTATCTTCAGCAACCTCATTCACCCTTTTTACACATTCAAATGCTTCTGGTTCTTGGAAACTATCTTCTAACATTCCAAGGTGCTCTGCCCACAGAGACATTCTATATCCATAGACCTGGAGATTGAGACAAGATGAAAAAGAAATGATTCACTTAAACATCACCGTTTTGCTCAACTTCTTCCAAAAACTGGATTAATAAATGAAAAATGATTCACTTGAACATCAAAGTTTTTCTCAACTTCTTCTCAAAACTGTGGATGTAGTAAATGAACTTTGAGTTTTCTCATTACTGTAGTATTGCTTTCTTTCTATTTTCAATATATTGACAGATCAATACAAATTGGGCTATTTGAACTAATAGTAATAGCATTTTTCCTTGAGCCGAGGGTCTATTTGAGACAACCTCTCTACCTGCTCAGGATAGGGGTAAGGTCTGCGTACACACGATCCTTCCGAGACCCCCCTACTTGTGGGATTACACTGGGTTTGTGGTTATTATTGTTGTTGAACTAAGAGTCATTTGGGGAAAAAATGAACACAAAAACAGAAGGATGAAAGATAGAAATTTACCATAGCGACTTTATGATAACTGAAAAATTCATTACCCAGGTTTTACTACTGAAGACATAGTATCTTCTTCTGAAATTGCACATGATTTTCCAACTATTATATATCCACTTAAGCAACTTTATAAGCGGTGTTGATATTTAGATTGAATCATAAGTCTCATAATGTATATAGAAAAGGCATGATAAAGTTCGATAAAAGGCTTTTTGTGGAAGACTGTAGGATAATTGTTGAGTTAAGCAACGAAATAAAAGTTACAGCTCAGAGCCAAGAGAAATCACTATAATTCAACCTGTTAATAGAGATAAAGCAACTGAAATGGATTTGAAGATGGAATTTTTACGTAGCAACCGTGTCAATAAAGATCTTTTTTTCTTCGTCTAATCTTCTTCCTTTTCTTAAGAAAAACAGAGTAGTTATTAAATATAAATTGATAGAGGAGGTAGATTTAGCTTTGTGAACACAGACAAAGACACTAATTTCAGATAACATATTAAGATAATTAAACTTAAACTCTTTGGGTCCCTTCCCATGTCAGTAATATCTCATCCAAAGACAACTTTTCTAAGTCTGTTACTTCAAATGATAAATATTTAAAATAAAGATCTTGGCACAGGGAAAATAATCAAACATTCAAACCTGTCCTCGTGGATGCTGTTGTTTCTTTGCCCAAGAGTGATGTGGTTGATAGGCACCCATAGCTATCTCGGTGTCTTTCGATCCGGCTAAAGATCGTTGATTTATGTTGGCAGAACCCAGTATAACATATTCATCATCCACTATCATTCCTTTGGCATGCACGTATATCATGAAACGTTGAAATTTATATGAATCCGAGACCTGGTTGCATGGCAAAGTTTGAAAAACACGCCTTAACAAAATTTTGCCAGCTTCATCAAATCGAGACGCGTCAAAATAATTCATGAAACACGATAACCAAATAGATGTTGCATTTCCCAGATGCTTATTATGTGAAATGGAGGCTGAAGATTTGAAATTGTAAAATTACTAGGCAATTATGACACCGGATTTTGACCATCTTTGAGCTGAAGTGGACTGTGTGAAGGACAACTAAGGAACTACTTCAACACTTGAACAGAAGAGGAGCGAATGCTCTAACTTATAAAATAAGTCCTTCATGGATTCTGTGGGCTATGTAGAGCGAAAAGAACCAAAATTTCAAGGCAAAATTATAACTGTACTAAGTGTCAAATTCAAATGTATCTTTTCGTTAGCTTCTTAGTTTAGGATTGCGCAACGATTCATGAAGTTCAGTTCCATACATGAATAGCAAGGAAATTGAGGTTTTGCACGTCACGTTTTGTACAGCTCTCAGCTCCATTTTAGCATTTATTTACTTATTTTTAAGAAATAAAATTCCTCTAGAAGCCCCATGATAGTGAACTTATCTCAAGAAATAGGTCAGAGAGCACCGTTTGGGCCTAATATTCACTGCCCATAACAAAAAGACTAATATCAATGCATGTACGGGAAATATCTAAGTGCAAAATGTTGAAACATACCAGTAACAAAAAGGGACAGAAAAAACAATACTCCTAAGGGTATGGCAAGGGTAGCTCTATCGGAGGAATAGCGGGAAGACTTAGAAGGAGAAGCAAAAGCATGGGAGTATGTACAAGGTACAGCACTTTTTCCAATTGTTCAAAGAGTAGGGAAATTCTTTATTCATTTTAACGATTATGTGACACCTCCATTGAACAACCTTGAAGAGATTGAAACAAGTAAAGCATACTACGGACAGTAGCAGTGACGATAGTGTAGATGATGTATTTTGATTTAAGTGCATGCATTTGGGGAAAACAGAGAGAGCAAGTGGATAGATACATCAGCTAGCAGACAAGGTATATTTATGAGCTATGTTGCTCGGACTCTCCGAAAATGTGGCCGGATACGTATCGGATCCTCCAAAAGTAGTGCACTTTTGAAGGATCCGACACGGGCAAGGCTACATTTTGGAGAGTCCGCGCAACATAGTTTATGAGTGGAGATCACAAACTTGTTAATCTCACAATGACCTTTCACTTAACTGTTAGTGCATGTAGTGTTTATGTGCCCACTTGGACATTACCTTATCAGCATCATTAGCAAATTGACCATTTGCTTCACGATTTCCAAGGCAGTAAAAATTTAAATAATCTAATGGATGTGAGTCTACAAGCTGCATTGACTTGAGCTCCCTTGCAATAACTTGATACATCATCTGCATTGTCTGGCTCTGTTGAAAGCATACACAAATTTCAGTAAAGTGCATCTGATTATTATTCTTAGATTCTTGCATCAGATCACACTTTTATAGCATAAAATACTAAATAATCAAATCTAACATAGAGAAATAAGCACAAGCTTGAGACACCATGAAAATATTTTTGGGATAAGTTAGCGTTCATTATCAAAGTTCTCCTCTCGTTCATTCTGCCAGGTTCTCAAATACACAAACCATTTTTCCACCAACATCCTTTCTAAAAATCTTATTTCGTTGTGTTTTGTGTCCCTACATATTAAAGAAATAAAATACCAGTTTATGAGGAATGAGAATGTTTATAATAGGAAGTTACTTCCATTCTCGTTTATGTTAATCTACAGAATAACTAATGCAATTATGATAATTCAGATAAAAGTACCATAAGAGCTGGCATCTCTATTATTATTATAGAACTGCCCTTGATGTTTGCTGCTGAAGGTGCCCAGTGTCACATTATTAATGTTATATGAAACTACGTTTATGAAATCCAAAATACAAATCATGATGATTCAGGAAACAGATTACCTGCCAGTATAGAATTTCTTGCCCAGTAACTGATTTGGGATCCCCCTCGGGCCACATGGGCAAAACAACGTATACACAAAACCGTTCTCTGGCTCTAATTTTACTTGCAATTTTCAATGCCAACTCCATGGGTACCAGATGATCAGCTCCTGATCAAAATTGGTAAAGGAACATGAATTGGAATTGGGTAAGGAAGAATAATGAATGCTTCCAGGTGGTTTAAGTAGAACAAAAGCAAGAATTTGTCTGAGCTCAAACTACGACTTGATTATCCTAGAAAATTGGCGAGTAAGTTCCATAAAATCTTGCTTTCAGGAAGAAATATAACACTTTCAAGAGTGTGTTTAAAGGAAACACATGAAGACAATAATTAGAGAAGAATTGGAATTTACAGATTTTTACCTTATCAATCTTAAAACCTTTTGCATACTTTTTCTAGGAATTGGATGTGGTAAAATATTGAGCCCGGTAGAGTTTACCTATTAGTCAAATGCATTAAAAATGCAGATGTAAATTTTGGATCATCAATTTCATGAGGAGTTGTGAATATAAAAGCACATTTCTATGTTGAATCATAACTTTTTTTTATTCTTTGGTGATAACATAGTTTCATGTCTTGTATACTTCTATTCGATAATATAGCAAGAAAATATAAATTTACCTGCATCTTTGTAAGACGGCCAAGCATATGATGACCCAAGAAAATACTGATTCTCAATATATATGAAATGTTGAGCAGATCTTATTGCCTGGATGTATGCTGATTCAATGCTTTTGTCTACTACCAGATCTTTTGAGCTGATAAGGTTCTGTCAAAAATATAATGAACAGAAATTGTGAATACTGATAAGTGTTCCATATACAGAACAGCTACTTTCGCGGAACTTTGAAAGGTTATGACAAAAAAGCTATGGTTTCTGTACCTGTGCCTTAGCAACATCAATACTCTTGGGAAAACCTTGCACTGAGCCTGAATCAATGGAACGAAAGATCTGCAGTATAAGATATGAGGAAGAGCGTTAAAAGGGATTCAACAAATTCTGTTGAATATCTCTGCATGACAAGAAAAATCTACCTGCACGTGCCAATTTTCGGGGTGATCTTCCCCAGCTACATATAGTTTTGGATCATCTGCTGGAATCTCAGTCCCTACTTTGAAAACAGCAAAAGCGGGGCTGAGTATCCATGAGATACGCTCAATCTTTAACATTGCATCGTCATTCCAGCGGGACATCGTTTTCTTAAAGAAAGCGAATTCCCTCCACTTTGTTGCTCTCCTCCATCGCTGAGCAAAGTTTATAAGCACATCATATGCAGCAGGTCCATCAATTCTGCAGTGCAAATCATGCCATGGCTCCCTTGGGGCCTTGGTCCCTGGCTAGTAAATGTGGTACAAATAAATTAAAATTATAAAAACATAATCAACAAGAAAGCCATGATCAAAGGAAATAAAGAAATAGAAGGAAAAATTCACTGTATAAAAGACGTATAAAATCACGTAAACATGTGGTTGGAAATAACCATATGATACACTGCAGGGTTTCACCATCTTTGGTTTAAATCAAACATAACAACCCTATTCTAAGTAACTTAGGGGACTTTTTGATAACCTTATTCACGACTGACAATTGAATGCTCAATGTGCTAAATCATAGTCCTTGGACTGTAAATGAATATTACTCAAACATTAAACTTCCATAAAAGTACTTGAGAGATTTAAGTCTAACACACTAGAAAAAGTTCTTATCTCACCATTTATGCATTAAATTAATTTATTTTGCTTATAATTCTTGTTTATTATATTTTCATACCTATTTTAGGACTAAGATTTATTTTCAGTAAAAGTATCATCTGAGAGTAACAAATTTAACATAGTAATCATTGCATGTTTTATATTAGTGGCAGATGACAAATACTATACAACAAACAGTATAATGTACAAGTTCCAAATTAGTTTGCATCATCATCGAAGCGAATAAATCATAACGATATTAAAATAACAAGATAGGAAAGTACAAGCTTTTACCGGAATATTCAAATTTGGATGGTTGTTACCGATTGTATCGTATCGTATTGTTACTTTAAATACAATGTTTATTTTGATTGTTACTTAAATTTTATTGTATCGTATCGTTAAATCCGTCGTTATGTAACGATGAAATGTGCCACTTTATGTAACGACCGATTTGTGTGATTGTGTCGTTTTCTTGTGTTTTCTCTCAATCTCACCCTTCATTATTATTAAATAGTTTTATTTTATCATTTACCCTACCTTTTTATATAGCGTATCATAATTTTTCTTTATAATATTGCAAGTTTATTCATCATATTACTGGTGCATGATACCATGAAACGACGGCAAAATGATACAATCCATCCAAACATTGTATTCATCAAACGATACAGTACAGTACAGTACAATACGATACGATACATTATGAAACGATATGTAACAACCATCCAAACAAGCTGTGTGTAAGTTCAGATTTGAGTTTTTATCCTTTGTTGGCAAGCCACCTAGTCTCTATTAGCATTAGCATCTTTTTTCTTTCCCTTCGTCAAAGTGTGACCACTTTCCCATAAACAGATGGCAAAACAAATGCAAGAGACTGACAGCTAAAAAGGTTGGGAAAACGGTATCTTGTAGGTAAAATCTTCATTTATCAGAAAAAGTTAAGGTCTCCAAATAGTTCAGACACTTCAAATAATAAGCAGAGAGAGACATTATTCTTGTGGTATTTCAGAATAAAATTAAATTAGAGATTTGTTTTCAAACTGACCCTGTTTCCTACATAAAGAACCATGATCATACCAGAATGCTTAAATCTACATACATATATAGAAATTATATCTGAAATCTTCACCCAAACGAATGATAAGTAACTAAAAGGATGCCCAATAGAATAGTTGTTTCAGGCATAAAAAATAGCTCCTAATGCTTTACTAGAACTTAATTTTTCTAACTACATTTCCCCACTTGGCATCTGAAATAAACAAACACTTTTAGATTGCTAGTCCTGTTGGTAAACAGAGTTAAAGCTAGTGAAATTCACAGGCAGGAACCTCTTCATGTGTCAACTCCAGCAAGGAAACAGACTCTAAACTTTGGGAACGGAAGCAAATTTAATTTAAGCAACATGCCGAGCTTAGCAAACTCTTGAGCAAAACTTTTACAGCAGTTACAGAAGTTAGGCTTCAGAACTTGAATACTTTGAACTACAGGTTGCCCTTTGTTTGTTGACATTTTTAGTCATGTGGCAATAACAACTGCTAAAATATCCACAAGCAGATTTTCTAAAAGCATTAACAGATGGGTTAAACTTCATATGCTGGAAACAGACTTTTCGATATTTATAAGGTATATAGCTTCCCCAACTTGCTTGGTAGTGAGGCGTAGTAGTAGTTGTTGTTGTATAAGGTATATAAACTAACACAACCATCAAAATCATTCTTTTCACATGATTTGGTCTGTATTAGTTATCATACTCAATCTGCTGCAATAGCCCGTGTAGTCCAACTAGCATAAAGTATACTAGACTTTTCCCCAACTAACCAATAAGAACCACACCAAATGATAGTTTACAGGTATTAAAATTATCAAAAAAATATTTGGAACAACAAACTACTCACAGGAAATTGAGGCTGATGAAAATCATCTTTGAAAACAGTATCAAGATCACGGAATAAGCGATGTTCAGGCGTATCATAGCGACCATCACAGAGATCAAGACCTCCTAAGAAGGCTGTAATTTTTCTATTATTGCCAGGAGCCTGTGTATCTACAAGAATGCACTTCTGGTGATGCGTGAACATGGTTCCAACAACCTGGAAGCAACAATTAAATGTGCAAACCATCAACGAAGGGGAGATAAAGGCCAAAAAGTGAGGAAGTGGTTTTAAATCAAAGCAAAAACAGATTTCTAATAGGGAATATTCATGCTATCAATTACATTTGATATGCACAGCAACTAAGATAATCTTTTCCTGCTAAACCTTTTGACCTCTTCTTTCCTTTCTCCAGCAAACTGATGAGAACACTTATAAGAGAGTTACCTGTTGCTTCATAATGCTGAGCTTACTACTAGCATAACGTGGTGACAGAACACAAATCACAGAGGAATGCTTAAAGAACTTCTTGGTCTCCTCATCGTGAGTTCCCATTACTCCTGCCTGCAACCAATGCCATCTCAAATTATTGTAAGGGGGGGTTTAAAACAAGAAGTACAACTGATGGCATGCACCATCTTAGGAAAAAAAACAACTGCGCCTCAGTCCCAAGGGGTCAGCATGCACCATCTTAGAAAGTAAAGACAAAAACAATTGGTTAAATGAACGAAAGAGATTATAACAGATGTAGTTCAGTTCATATCTAAAATTGCGTAGAAAGATTTCTGTTCACAAATTGGGAATAACTATGTCCTTATATTAGCTGGAACCTTTTTCCAAAAACTGAACATGCATGACTTGAGGCTAGACAAGGCTAAGTTGCATTCAAAATGCTTATGAGTGGTATGCAAAAAACATAGTCAAATTAAAGTTTTTAAGCAAAGATATACGAAGATTTCGAAATAAAATAACAGCAACTAGCAAAACTTAAATAAGACTACTAGCATGGTCAGTTGAGTTTAAGCAAGGAATGAAGAATATTAGTAGTAGCAAATAAAATAACAGCAACTAGCAAAAGTCAAGCTAGATTATAATTGCCAAGAAAGACATGAAAAGAAAAGATAGTCACGTGCAACCACTATCTTAACACCTTCTTTAATAAACAAGAACATAATAAAGTACGCATTAATGCCACATTAGAATATACTTTATCAAAAGAAACCACATTATAATTTAACGAAGGAATCAGAATAGTATTCAACAGTACATACCGTGTTAATAAAGAACTTATCGTGCGAAGTTTTATCATCCCAAACTAACAGCAGAACTCTTACACCTTCTTGAGACTTGTATTTAAGCAATTCACCAAGCGTCAGATCACCGCCACGTGGCAATGGCCTTGTGGGTTCTCTAATTAACTTAATCTTATGATAAACAGACCAACCAACAATGTAAATCAAGTGATGAGCCTCAGAAATTGCATAGCATATATCTTCCCAACATTTGTTGTGCTCAAAATTTGTTCCTTTTTCCAATTTAATATCTGGGAACTTCACATTATTGCTTACGTGTGCATCTTGGTATAGTTTTACTGAACTTCCTTTTCTTAATGGAAAATAAGTATTTCTCACACCTAAATGCTGAGGATCAGAAGCAATGCCGCGTGTGTATAATGAGTTTGTATCATAAGGGAAAAATTTCATTTGGACCTTAAGGGCTGAATTGGGCTTTGGAGGTTTACCGGAAGGCCCAATAATGGGAAACCAACCGGAGATGACGTCACCGGTGGCGATACTCTCCGCCGGAATTTTAACTTTACCCATAATTTCGGCCCCGAACAAGTCATCATCCTTGACCCGAAACTCCAAGAAGGCCATAGGATGGGCCAATGGGATCCGAAAATGCTCGTCCCAAACCGGATACTGAGAGTTGGGTATGATCCGAGTACGGGCTAGAGCGGTTTGTGGAGCTGAAACGGTGACGTATGGGTCACTCGTGATGATTTTCCGGTGCTGATTTTTCTTATCCGGTTGTGACGTACGGTCGCCGTCGTCTCCGCCGTCGACGGTGGAATCAGGTGGTTTACGGCAGATGCCACCGAGAGTGAAGCAGCGGCGAAGACGGGCAGAAGTAATGTCCATGTTGGGTAAATGACGGGCTTGGATAATGTGGAGTTCCAAATCTCCATGTAATATGAGCTTTTTAGGTTCGGACATTATACTCTAGATTATATATGTGCAATAGAATTTGCTAATCCGTTGGGATAGCAGAATACAATTTATAGCATGAAGATCAAGGTCATGTTAGTATAGTAGGAGTGAAAAGATGGGGAGAAGAAAGAGATATTCTTAGAATTTGGTTTTGTGGACAAGTATGGGATAATGGCACGTTTGGTAAAGTGATATATAGTGACTGTTTGCTGAGATTTTACGTCTCCGATCGAGCTGCCATGCACGGAGGGTTGGTCTTGCGTATTTGTACTCTAAACACTGTTTTAAACATGTATCCTAATGTGATGAACAAACTAACATGACGACTAGGGGAGACAAACGGGCAGGTCGGGTCGGGTCGGTTGACACGGATAAAAAATGAGTTATTCGACAGATAATATGGATATAATATGGAAATCCATATTATCAATTACTTCTTGAATATGATCACGTTAGAATTCCTAGTCTCTCAAACTTGAGGAACCCCCAATTTGAAACTTTACAAAATACTCCCTGATTCACAATAAGTGACCAATTTGCTTTGGACACACACATTAATGAAATACTAAATTTTAGACGAAATAGTTCGTGTGACTAAACTACCCTTTATTAAATGTTGCACCATAGTTATAATAGCACTTACTTCTATTCTCAAATATGAGTTGTAAATGACTTTTTAGGGATATGAATATAAGGATAATCTTGAAAAAAAATTTAAATTTTTTCTTGATTATATAAATTGACACTTATTTTGGACCAAAATAAAAAGACAAATTGGTCACTTATTGTGGACTGGATGAAGTATACAAATTAAACACATTAGTTATTCATTGGTTATCCATTTGATTAGCCATTTTCTAAGTGGATAAGATGTTTCTATCCATATCCAACCTATTTTTGAAAAGTTCATTATTCAACCTATTTTTAATGGATAATATGGACATATAATAGTTTTCTTTTAACCATTTTTCCACCTCTAATGATGAGTCTGATGGGAAAAAAACATGTACATATATTGATATATTATTATCGTGATGAAAACAAGTTTCCTCCTACATTATCCCACAATACATCATACTTAGCTGTTAATTATGTATAATTTGGATTGAGACATGTTTAGGAATACTTGGAAGTAAAAACCTGCACCAGTACGTAATAGAGTACATATTCATAATTTAAGTTATAAGTGAATACATAATTGATGATACCAAGACAGATTCATAATTTAAGTTAGTGAAATACTACATAATACCATCATCAATTATGAAGTTAATTACTTCAAGTTATGGTAGGTGAACTTCATTTGACGACGAAAAATCTATAAAAGATTAAATTCAAACCAAGAAAGTGAATGTGTAGACATCCCTTCAATTCTAGCAAAGGTTCACGTGATTGGGTGACTAGGCGAGAAATTAAAGGTGTATGAAAGGTAAATAATTACCCACATTTACATCAAACTATATTAATTCACGATAGTTAATTAATTTAATTAGATGAGAATGCATATAATTTACCATGGTTAAATGTTTGAAGTCCATATACAAGACACATATCATGTATTTATTGATTTGGTGTAAACAGGGGCGGATTTACACCGCTTCATCGTAAATTTTGTTAAATATATAATACAAATAAATCATTTAATAAAATAGTTAAAATGATATAGCTTTTCCCGAATTCAATCCTGGCTCGCTGGTTAAGCAACAGACGTTTTCAGCGGAGGTTGGCAGTTCGAAGTCTTGCATCGTTTTATCTGTGAGTAAATCTTTTTAGTACTAAATCCTTACTGATGATTTGCCGATGAACTTCTTTCAAAGGAAAATTAAACCACATTCATTTTTGTATAGAAAAAGGACAATAAACAGTATAACGCTTACCGGGGTTCAGTTATTTCAAACCATAATTTTAAAAATATTATTTATTGCATTTTACTGAAAGACTTGGTTGTTGCTTGGTTTTATTTTGTAAGTTGTTCTGGTGCTTTTATTTGTATGGGTTGAATGATGGGATTATTTGGAGGTTATCTTATTGACGTTTTTGTTGTTTAGCCTAATTTCAATGAACAAAGTTTCTCTAGTGCACTGAGCTTTCTAAACCAAGTTCAATGTCTCAAAGTTCATCTAACTTAAGGAAAGGGCCAATGAGTCGGAATAACATCCACAAATATGTCGAGGAGAGTCGTAACGTACTTTTTTTTTTAATAATATGATGCCGCTAATTTATTTGCTCTTTATTTCTTTTTTACATATCGACGCCGATTACGAAAAATTCTGTGTACGCCCCTGGATGTAAACACCCGGTGCGAGTAAATTTTTACCGTGTATGAAATGTAGCAACATGCCAGTGAATACAACGTTAGTAGTGAATAGTTGCTGGTCCTCTTTCAGTTACAATGAAACATTTCTTACGATTTCAACGTGGTAATTCTTTACCGAACCCATAACCTACACACTAGCTCCACCCATATTCATAGCCCTAAAAGGAGGGGGGAGGAACAACTTGCCTCATCTTATAGGTAGATGATGAAAACGATTTGGATCACTAAACTATTTCAGGAAAAAAAAATTGGATCGAGGTTGCAGCCATCCTTCACTTACGTGCACAAAGTTTAAATCGTACTATAGATTATTGTGACGACCCTAGTTCTTCCTCCGTGAACCTATCGTGATGACACCTAGTCTCTACGACTAGGGAAGTCTAACTTTACAGAAAAAGGAACAAAAAACATAAAAGCTATCAACTAAGAGTAAATTTTAAACAAGGAAATGTGATGTCGATTGGCATATACAATAATCATTTCCGAACAGTATACTTAACTCTCCCAAAACTCGGAATGTCATAAGTCACAATCTAAAGAAAAGACACAGTACTCTTATACTCAAGAGTCTAATACAAGAAGAAAATAACAAAAAGTCTTTAACTTGAGGAAGAGTAGAGAGGGACTCCTAGGTCTGCGGATACGGTAGATATACCTCAAAGTCTCTACAGTCGTCTCGCCTCACTTGTAATGCAACTGATGTGAGGTATCTAGATCTGCACACGAAAAACATGTGCATGAAAGGGCATGAGTCAACGGTACCCAGTAAGTGTCAAGCTTAATCTCGGTCGAGTAGTGACGAGATCAGGTCAAGGCCCTACTGGTATATATATATAACAAAATAATTCAGAATGAAATATCGCAGTAAAGATAAATACTAAAATTTAACGAGAATGAAATCATAGAAAAATAACAGCTCAGTACACAGAGATAACAACAGGAGATCTCCCGGGATACCGTCCCGTATTCCCAAACGTAAATGTTTAGGAGATCCCCGGGATACCGTCCCGTAGTCCCAAACGTAAATGTGTAGCGGGATCTCCCAGAATACCGTTCTGTAGTTCCAAAGTAAATATACAGTACAAGGGGATCTCCCAGGATACCGCCCCGTAGTCCAAAACATAAACGTGCAGGGGGATCTCCCGGAATACCGTTCCATAGTCCCAAAGTAAATATGCAACTCAATCAACATAAACAATAGTTTCAACAAGGAATTCTACGGTTTAGACTAAGTTCATATCAAAGAAGACAAGTAATTTTCACTAAACATGCTACACAAAGTTTAGAGAGGTAGTTAAGGCACGTAAGCATGCTTTCCTGAGCTAAACAGGATAGTTACATATACTGGTGTTGCTCAATTAAAGGAAAAATAGATATTTGCTGAATAAAAACGGGTTTTTTCAACAAATAGCCCATGTATGCACTCGTCACCTCGCGTACACGGCGCTCATATATCAAACAGTACCAAATCCTAAGGGGAGTTTCCTCATAAAAGGTTAGGCAAGCCACTTACCTCGAACCAAGCTCAAATCAATCCGAAATCATGCACTTGCCACGAGTATCCAACTCCGAGTGGCTCAAATCTAATCAAATCAATTACATAAAGTAAATATAGCTACAAGCAACTAACATAGCTAATGAAATCAAAGGTAAGGCAAGAAAATAGAGAAACCTCCAAAAATTCTACCCGGAACCACATCTTGAAATCGGGTAAAAGTCACAAATTATGAACATTCATTCACTCACGAGTTCACTCGTTCAAAAATCATCCAAATCTGACGCATAAATCCCACTCAAATCTTAGATTTTTGGTTGGGGAACTTTTCCCCAATTTTCCAACTTTCTCACGCCAATTCCTTAATTTAATGAAAAAAATAACTATGGATTAATGAAATATGATCAAAATAGGATTAGAAATTGTTACCCAATGATTTTCTCTGAAAAGCTCTCGAAAAATTGACTTCCATCGAGCTCCAAATCGAATTTGTTATATGAATTTCAAACCCTCGAAAATTCTCTTTTCTGCCCTGCGATTTCCATTTCTGCGATCCTAGGACCGCATCTGCCGTCCCGCACCTACAGAATTGCCATCACAGGTGCGGCTTTTCACTTAATGCACCTCGGCCGCTTCTGTGATCATGAGGTTGCACCTACGTATGCGCACCTACGGATCCCCATCCGCTTCTGCGATTCAAGACTGCTTCTGCGTTCCTTCACTCGCACTTGCGGGCTCCGCAGATGCGGAACTCCCCTCGCACTTGCGACCCTAGACCTTCTCACAAAATCCGCTTCTGTGCTTTGTCATCCGCATATACGGTCCCGCACCTGCGGTTCCCTACCACAGGTGCAAAAACACCAGAACCAGCACACCAAAAAATCCTCTAAGTCCAAGTGTTCACCCATTGAGCATCCAAAACACACCCGAGGCCCCCGGGACCTCAACCAAATATATCAACCAATCCTAAAATACCTTACAAACTTAGTCAAGCCCTCAAATCACATCAAACAATATTAAAACACAATTCATCCTCCAATCCAAACCTAACGAACTTGAAACTTTAAAATTCTACAACCGATGCCGAAACCAACAAAACAACATCCCATTGACCCCAAATTTTACACACAAGTCATATTTAACACTACAGACATACTCTAACTTTCGGAATCGGATTCTGACCCCAATATCAAAAATCCCACTAGCGGCCTGAAACTCCAAAAATTCAACTTTCGCTATTTCAAGTCTAAATGAGCTACAGACCTCCAAAACACAATCCGAACACGCCCCTAAGCCCAAAATCACCCAACAGAGCTAACAAGATCTGTAACGATCTGACCAGTCATTTTGAGCTCTAGCACGTCGTTCGATAATTTGAGGTCATGATCAGCTTCACTTCATTTATTATGACTTGTACACATGGTCAGAATTGAATTCCAGGAAGTTCAGA